TGAGAAACAACCTAAAACTCTCATTAGTAGCTTCCATCTCTTAGTGTACTGAGATTTGGATTCTCTATGGGGAAGGTCAAGGGTGAGGTATTCGTAGTTGCAATACTTCTCAGAATGACCACAAATTACAGTTAGGATAATGAGGATGTGTTCGGTAGAGGATGTTTAGGAGGAGAAATGTCAAATAGGAAGGAATATGTGGATAGATGGGTTTGTAGAATAAGAGAGAAGTCTATTCTGGATAAATAAAATTAAGAGTTTGAACCATCATAAGATGAGGAAATTTTGGTTGAGATAAGGTCATAGAGAGAGAATGTACAAAGAGAAAGGAGAAGAGGTGAACAATTTTTCCATTGAATTGTTCAGGGGGCCTTCCTCTCTTTCATAACTATGCTTAGTCAACATAACAACATTGTTTTTCTCATAGAATCCTATTTTCATTACATAATTGTAAAACCAAACTGTGAGGGAAAACAGTAAAAGCGATTTATCATCAGTCTTCGCATCTCATCAAAGGAGTATGCTGAGAAGTCTCTTTTACTCTCTGATGCCTCCTGCCCACCCTGTCCAACTATTTTTGGATTACAGTTGTTCTACTATCCTGTAAAAGCCTGGGGTATTTTCTTGGGGACATTTTTGAAAAGGGATATTTAGAACAGAGTAATCCTTCTCATAAAAGCAACAGAGCCGAAAGCCCTCAGAGATGGAGTGTGTCTAGATAACATTTAATTTGTTGTTTCATTTCTTCTGAATCATAGTGTGCTTTATTTCCGTTTGTAAGTATTGGAAGTGCAGACATCAAATGGCTCTGAAAATAACACTGCTAATTCTCTTTTAAGAAGTGTATTACTTTCTTCTTTTTTAAAAAAATATTTATTGAAGTATAGTTGATTTACAGTGTTGTGTTAGTTTCTGATGTACAGCATATTGATTCAATTACACAATATATTCTTTTTCATATTCTTTATAATTATAGGCTATTACAAAGTATTTTTTCAGTGAAGACATACAGATTGCCAATAGACACGTTAAAAGATGCTCAATATCACTAACTACTTTCTTCTGGATTCAAACAATTGTGACACTGTTTGGACTTTCTATACTCAAGCTGTTTCTTTTAGAAGTCAGATTTGATTCTATAGACATTTTAAATTCAACACATTAACTACATCTTTTACTAGCCTCTAATTCAAGTTCCTAATTATAGAACCATATTTCCCTGTTTTCATTACCTCTTTTGTGATCAGGACTGATGCCTTTCTGTGTGTGTGTGTGTGAGACACCTATAAGCCAGCATCTTGCAAATCAGATGCATTTTAACAATGAAACTGACTGATCCAGCAAAAAATATTAAAAATTCATGTCTTAGTTTTGAATTACTTTAAAACTGAAAATGTATATTTTAATACATTGAGGTGTTTAACATAAATTTAAACGCATCATTGAACAGAATTATAGATGCACTTCACCAATTTTCCCTTGGCATTTCAATTCAAAATGTTTTCCTGTTTTTTTCCAATAAGCATTTAAAACTTTCATTATAATGGAAGCAGGGATTGCTTTTTGACCAAGATGAAAACCATAAACAACACCCACCATATGAGTAATATGCATGGAATTATATTAAGACAATGTGCATGCTTTTGTTTACATGCTGAGATGAAGATAGAAATTTCAACAATTTGGTAATCTGGGTTTCAACAATCAGAAACCCAGATTACCAAATTGAGCACCAGAAGTTGCTTTGGCATGAAGCCATTCAGGCAAAACAAAAGTTAACAAGATGGCGGGAGCTGGGCAGAGAAGGACTGAGGGGATAAATAGCACTCTGCAGCTGCTTTTTTAAGACAACCATTTTGATGAGTAGACTTTTTCACCCAATCCCAAAACAAACCACATTAAAATGTCATCTTCTTTTAATATCAAGAAATGTGGGGGATAATTATCCTCATCTCACCCCTTGGCAAAAATCTAATACGGCACAAAGTAAGGGTCAGGGAGGGTTAGGGTGAGAGATACCCAGACACCATCTGGCAGACATGCTACACATAATCAAGAGGCACGTATTTACCAGACTTGCTCATTTCAGAAAAGGCCGTCAGTAATTCTTAACTAAAGCAACTGCCCACTCTCTAAGAATTTGCATAAATGAATACTTGAAGTGTTAAATTCTGATTTCTCTTTTAAAGCTATAATATAGCCATACTAATTTATTTTAAAACAATACATGTAACTACTTCTTAATATTATATCTGGTTTTTAAATTTGAAAATGAAGATAGGCATGTATACTTTCTGTGGGCTTCCTGAAATATATAGTATTTGGGAAAGGGAGGATATTTGGGCAGTAAATATATATATGTATGTGTGTGTATGTATATGTGTATATATATATATATATATATATATATATATATATGTATATATAATA